AAGAACATTTATGATCATTTCTTATCATTTCCTTAAAGTAATAATCACCATATTAATCATTTTGCACTGCAGACGCGGTAGTTCTTCTGCCTTAGCGTCTCGGTCTGATTGCATTTCCATAAAGTAATGATCATAAATGTTCTTCCTTGAGCTGCGTCACCCCGCAGTAGTTCGCAATGGACTGGCCTGAGGTCTCGCTACAAACAAGGGGCTGCTGGAAGAGAGTAGGTGAGTTGCTTTTAGGTTCGAGGTTTGTTTATGGCTCCTCAGACCGCTGTGTATTGTTATCGTGCGGTCATGACTAAAGTTGGTATAACTAGAGAAGCAAGCGGTTGGAAACATTCATCTTTAGAGGGGGTGTCTAACTTGGTGTTAGGGTGTGTTTGACCCTAAATTAATTTCACGCCGGAATATCCCTTTAATTTGACTAGCCACAATTCTGGTGCAGATCCCAAATTAACCCTCTAAAATCAGACAATAAAGGGTTAATACATAATCTAAGAGACGGTAAATACAGTTTTCAGCGGAATAAACCTTTTAACTTAAACTACATTGGAGGAAAAGTGTATTTGTGAAACGATTACATAACATTTTCCTCAATGTGTAAAATTGGACATGGCTCCACAGATTCAGTTCTATCTTTGAACCGTGTGACCGATCAGCTGTTCCCGCTCCACTGTTCACACACTCGTTAAGTTTTTTATTGACCAACTGACGTTAAAGAACAAAACTTTCCCAAAGAGAGACGAATTCCTGTGGAGCTTTCTTCCTTAGATGACAAAAAAGAAACAGTTTTGTTTCTCCCGCTCTCACGGTTGGATGTTTTAGCCTCCGCCTCCAACTCCCAAAACTTCACTTTGAAACGAGCCTCGGTTATTCACTCCAGAGCAGCTGATGGAAATGTCTCTGATTGCTTTTAATTGCTGAAAAAATGTCAAAAATAAGGTTGAAATTCGCCTGACACTTGAATGAAAACATAATTAGTGACTCATCTGCCTTTTCTCCCACATAACTCCTCCATCCTCTCCTCCTCTCCTTTCTCTGGCCTCCTTTCCTCGTCATGATTTCATGATTATTCCCTTTGAGTTCTCCAAATCTCTTCCCGCTCTCGCCCCTCATCTTTCCCGTCAATGCCTCTCTCTCTCTCTCTCCATCTTTTTTCCCATCATTCTCCTCCTTTTGTACTTCCACTCCTCCTCCACATTCCTTCCCATCCCTCCATCTCTTCCCTCCTCCTCCTCCTCTTCGTCTTTGTCTCCCCCCCTCCATCATGTGCCGTTGGCAGCTCTGAATGGAGGCGCCCGGGGAGCTCAGGCTCTGTCGACCAGGAAGAAAACATTGCCACGAGGGGCCGGGTCAACAAGGCTTGTTACTTAGCAACCCCCTCACCTCCCCCTGGGAACTGGAATCAAACGGCCGTCACCATTGGCCGAGGCAGCTCCCTGCTAGCGGCTCCTGTTATGTAATGCTGCCAGTTTGTTGCAGCAGCAGCAGGAACGGGAGCAGATTGAAAAGAGATATTTGGAATTTTGGCGTCCATCGCCAAGCTTTCCCTGATTTACTTTACTCTCCTTAGTAACCCAGCAATTAGTCTGAACCTTTTACAAACAAACAAGGGAGATAATCGCTTTACAAGACGGAGAAGGAGAGTTGACCTTTGACAGTTCAAAGCAAAGACTCTGTTTAAAAAGATGAAACCAAAACATCAGTCAGAAAGCCCTAAAGCCCTCCTCCTCCATGTTGACAGATGGGACATGGATCAAACTTAAAGGGATATTCCGGCGTAAAATTAATTAAGGGTCAAACACACCGTAAAACCGAGTTAGACAGTCACCAAGAGATGAATGTTGCCGACCGCTTGCTTCTCTAGTTATACCAACTTTAGTAACGACCGCACAATAGCAATACACAGCGGTCTGAGGAGCCATAAACAAACCTCAACCAAAACGCCACAAATAATGCTCAGAACAGCACCTAACTTCAACAACAGGACATATAGGGTCCCAGCCATAGTACTAGCCACCAAATATCTTTTTAACTTTGCCTGATTTCTTTAGCAAAGAGACTAAACACAACTCACTTACTCTCTTCCAGCAGCCGTTTGTTTGTAGCGAGACCTCAGGCCAGTCCGTTACGGACTGTTGCGGGGTGACGCAGCTCAAGGAAGAACATTTATGAACATGACCTCATGGAAATGCAATCAGACCGAGACGCTAAAGCAGAAGAACTACCGCATCTGCAGTGCAAAATTATTTATATGATGATTATTACTTCAAGGAAATGATAAAGTAATGATCATAAATGGTCTTCCTTGAGCTGTGTCATCCCGCAGCAGTCCATAATGGACTGGCCTGAGGTCTTGCTACAAATAAGTGGCTGCTGGAAGAGAGTTGGTGAGTTGTCTTTAAAAAGATGTTTGATGGCTAGCACTATGGCGAAGTTCGGTGCTGTTCTGAGCATTATTTGTGGCTATAGAGTGGCGTTTTGGTTGAGGTTTGTTTTTGGCTCCTCAGACGGCTGTGTATTGCTGTTGTGCGGTCGTTACTAAAGTTGGTATAAGTAGAGAAGAAAGCGGTCTGCAACATTCATCTCGTTGTTTTTAAAGATGAGCTCTTGCAGGGATGTTGGCAACTTATTAGCAGAGCGGACGAAGAATAATGAGAGGAAATGTCCTAAAAACCAACTCCAGGATCCTTGAACTTTGTCCAATCCAGCTGTTCGACCAGCAGATCCTTCTGCACAAACTCGGGCTTCTACTTTTGAACATGTCAGCGCCACTTCCTGGGATCTTTGGCTTCACTTTTAGACAACAGGAGGAGATAGAGACACTGTCCAACTTGATAATCTCTGATGCCCTCTCTTTGCTTCTTCTCTGCGTCTTTGAACCACGTCGAGTCTGAAACTCCGGCCGGTGGAGGGAGCAGACGCAGCGGTCGGAGATGCGGGGATTTGAAAAGAGGCTTAGAAATCTGAAAGGGGTGGTGAGGTCACAGGAGAGGGGCTTTGAACTGCAGACAGTCGCTCTGGCGTTGCAGCTTTAGTCTGCTTATGCAAGCAATAGTCTTGGCAATTGACGGCTGAGTGTATTTGAAGTTCTTGGGAAAGCTGTCAGGCCAAGCTGGGAGGAAAAACACATGACGTGCAGAGTTTTCAGCAGGTCCTGTAGGAAGGCGGTGACCTCCACGTTCACCCAGATAAAGAGGGATTTCACTGACAGGCTGAAGAGGCTCACATCATCAGCACTTTCTGCCCCAAAAACAAACACTCTGATGCTAATTTTCCTCAGGTCTGAGAACAAACAGGGACAATATGAGCTTCGATGTAATTAGAGACTTAAAGGTCGCAGCATTTGCACAGGATGGCATTTTGAAAAGAATAGAGACAGATTCGTTTGTTCATAACATTTCAACAAGGTAATTCAGTTTATTACATAACACACAAAGGCATGAGGACATAATGTAAAAACAACGACGAGAGACTGCAAAAAAACACAGGTATACATCGGATTTAAAAGGATTACGCCAAAACAGAAGATTAGAATAAGCTCAAATCGAATAAGACGAGGAGATTAAAACAGCAGCATACAAAAAAAAAAACGTAAGAGTAGCTACAGCGTGGTGCAATACAAGAGGAAATAATCCGAAATTTAGTTTAATAAAAATGCTGTGGCAAACCAAGGCTTAAGCCCTGATTTAATTCTGTGGATTTAGCTCAGATATGAGAAGAAAAAAGGACAGTTTCTGCTTTAGTTAGGACCGGGACCGGGAGCCGAACTGCTGATGACCACAACCGGTTCAGTTGATGATAGACGGAAATGAAGGAACCAGTAATATCTTTACAAGAAAGACACGTCTAATGAAACCATCTCTTTATAAACAGGCTTAATCTGAGGTATCAAACACACTGATTAATACACAGGAATACGAATACCAATCAGACCGTTTTTAATCACTTATGATCCGTTAGATTGATGATAGATGCTTTATTTTTACGGATAATGGTTTTAGAAGCAGTTTTGAGCCCATGCGGTGAGTCCCACTGCAGAGTCATGTCTGCTTTTTAATGCATAGCTGCCTGTGCGTCCAAAGATCACGGCTGACAGTGTTGGTTTTTGGTTTTGTCTTGTTTGTGCAGAGATTTCCTTTGAATCTACCAAAGATATTTCATAATGTAGATGATCAAATCTACTTTTTAAAATAATAATAATAACTTTATTTATATAGTACTTTTAAAAACAAGAGTTTACAAAGTGCTTTAACATGCAGAAAAACAAAGAAGATTAAAAACAACAGAAGAACAACAAGACAACACTTGAAAAAGACTAAAAACTCAGACTACATGTCCTAATGTGACATTTTTGGCGATAAAGAAATGAAATAAAAATCAGTGAAAGACAGAAAAGCTTTGATGAGTGTCACAAGAGTTGAGACGTCATTAAAACGAAGACATTAAAACAAAAACATCAAAAGAACCCGTGACACCCGGCCAACACAGGAACCCAACCACAAAAACAGGAGACCAAGAGGATGATTATAAAAGATGAAAAGGAAGAGTGAAATGAAATAAAGAAGACAAAAAAAAATATTTCAACTTTTCTCTTAAGAATATTATTTAAAGGTAGTTAAATTAGTCTGTCAGAGAGTGATCCAATTATCTTGATTGAATTTATGTCAATTAGAGTCAAAAACAGCAAAGCAGTAATAATGAAGTTGAGGTTAAATAACGAAGGTTTGGATGAGATGAAGTCAAAAATATCTAAAATTAACTTTAGCTTTGTAACAACGATAAAACTGATGTTTGTGGTTAAAGATCCAGAGTAGCAGGAAGTCTGCAGCAGCGATCCAGAAGAACCTCCGACATGAGGGAGCTCCGGGACTTTAAAGGGACATTACACCACTTTTTAATCGTCTCGTCGACCCTTTTTAAAACTTTTTTGCAAAATGTTGATGACATCAGTTTTATTATCATTTTCCAAAAATAAAAATATATTTTAGTTTTAGTATTTGATATGTTGTCGTAGCTACAGTGGCCCTGAGGCGCAAAACACAACAGCAAATTAGAAAACAAAACACAAAAGAGAAAATGTCGTTGTGTTTTCTGCTTTGCCATTGTGTTTTGCACCTCAGGGCCACCGTACTTAGCACCATTTTGGAACAAGCTTGATGAAATCGCTCTAACCAAGTTTGTTTTGTGTTAAGGAAATTAAGCAGATTCATTGATTGATGCCACTCGTAACAGAGGGGGATTTAGTCATACTCGGTCATACTTTAAAAAAGTGACACTTTTTATTATCATGAACTTAAACTCTCTGAGATTCATGTATCCTGGCTGTTTCTATTGAAAACAAACATCAATCTGGACTCGTGTTGCTCTCAGTAAACCCCGTCCGTGCATGAGTAACTGCAGGCTATCAGATGTCCACATCCTCGCACCCATAAAAACCTCTCTGAGCGCTTGTTTCCTGTGGCGCCGTGTCGTGTCCCCCCTCTCTCTCCTAACAAGCAGCTCTCTTGTTAAAGCGCTGAAACAATGTCCGTTTACACTCCAAGTGCTTCACAGTTTGAGTATCTGCATCTGCTGAGCAACAGGATATCTGTCGAACAGCATTATCTCCGTGTAAATACGACTCCTAACAGCTCGTACTGACACAGACATCCTGCTCGTCCTTCTTCAGGACTTTATCTCCTCTAACAGACCGCCGTCCTGACACATTTAACCGCTCTCACCTGCTCATTAATCCACAGCGGCGTGTTTATTCAGTGATGTTTACTTTTAATTATCTTTCATTAATGCCTGTGTTCACTGGCTGTTAATAAAACGTCTGTCTCCTCTGATAAGGAGTCTTTCTCATTGTGCAATCGTTGGTTATATTTCAAAATGTAAGGATAAAATAACAGGAGGTAGAAGAAAGAGAGGGAGAAAAGGAGCCGGAGCGAGAATCAATGTGCTAAAGAGTGAAGAAGGAAGGATGTGGGCTGAGAATAAAAGAGGAAGCACAGAATAAAGGAAAGGTGGGAGGAAAGGAAGGAGGAGGAAATGAAAGGCAAATTGGAGGGAGAGATGGCAGGAGGAGGAAGGCCCTCAGCAGGATCTCCAACAACAGGCTGTTGCTGAGGAGAACAGAAATATCTCCCCCGTCACACTGTGGACCCTCCACCTGCGTCTCCTCCAGCTTTATAATTAGCCCCGGCTGAAAGGAAAGTGATAACACGCAGGTTTCCTTTCAGGCACTGTAGAAAAACTGAAGAAGATGGTGGTCTTCTGTGGGAAAAAAATCAGGTTTATTCGATTCCTGAGCTTGAAAATCTGCAGCATTCAGACAGAAAACAAGCGGTTATGTTTTATTTTAGATGCTTTATTAGTTTCGACAGCTTTAAGCAGGTAGGAAATAAAGAGAAAATGAAAACCTCCGCTCCGTGCACGCCTGTCTCCCCCGGAGTAGCAGTTTGTTTGCCTTGTGATATCTGTACAGTTCATCACTAAGCAAAAATAAACACAGCTCAGATTGAAGCGGAGAAGTCGTCTTCTTCAGGATGAGATCGGGGTTTTCCGAGGGGAAATTTTCTCTGTCCGGTTTAAAAAAACAGATCGTCTCGCATCAGGAGTCGTCAAGAGCAACGAGTGTAGATAGAAATGATGCACAGGGACAGGACTAACACGTGATATAATATGGCTGTGTGTTATATACTGTAGTTATATCATTGGTCGGCAGGTGTCTGTTACAGTTGTATAATCAGATCTTCAAAGTTGATCTCTGGGACCATTTTTGAAGTATTCAGAGTACAAACAGGTGACTTTCCAGAGACAAAGCTGATATGATTAAAGCTGTACGAAGAGCGCAATTCAGAAACGACTGCGCCACAGCGGTGCGTCAAAGACTGTCCCATTGTAAGGGAACCTGCAGATACAAAAAGATTCACTTCAAACTGATGGAAACAAAACTGTGGCCTTAACAGTGAATTAGTACCACTGCGTTCCAGTAACCTCAGAAGTCGGATGTCAGAGCTGGGAATGATGTTACACCCGAGTTGACGACGTTCCAGTAAACAAGTCAGAAAACCAAGATGGACGCCTACTGTTAGCTGTTGTTTACAACTGTCAGCTGTTGTTAGTTGTTGTTAGCTATACCAGTAATAAAAAACGCATAACACAGTATTTTACTTTAACAAACATCCTAGTGCCGTGTTCACAGTTAGACGTTGGCCAGTAAAACCTATACCACTTATTTAATTTCACAAAAACAAAACAGAAGAGCTAATAAATGATACATTAACAGAGCTTTCATTGTTACTTTTTACTGTTGATTCACTGCACTGCCATCTTGGATTATGATGTTGTCGTCAAATCGAGGTTGGTAAGGGTCGGCCGACTTTCCGAGTCAGGAATCCAAATTCAGAGGTACGTTTCAGTTGAATTTCCGACTCGGAGCTCGGAAATTCCGACTACCGAGTAAGTCGGGAAAAAGCAAAATCGGAGGCGTAAACAAGATGCTAAAATGACTTAAAATAACTAAAATAACAAGCGCTAAAATAACTTTCGTAGATGTACCCATCTTGTTTCCACCTCCGATTTTGCTTTTTTCCGACTTGGTAACTGAAACGCTGGTAACTCAGGTGTGACGTCATCCCAGCTCGGACATCTGACTTCCGAAGTTACTCCAACCCACCATTAGAACCTGGTACCCTCCACCTTATTTGGTTTTTATAATGGGAGGTTTCCATAACAACAGAACTTTTAATAGGCAGTACTTTTTAACTGGTTACATCGAGCTCACTTAACTTGAAACTGAATTTATTTGAGCTCAATTTTTGCAGCAGCTCTTGTGTTTTATTTTCAGCGTTGGTTTTGTTGAGCTTATTGTCCTTTTGTGATAAAACGGGACTTTTGTTCTTGCATGTATTTTTTTTCCTCTCTTTGTTTCCATCTTTATAAAACTGCCTCAAGCTGCCAGCAAAACTAATCCTCCCAGCATGTAACTGGAAAGACTCCACTGGTTCCAGGATCACTTACTAGGCAAATGTTGACATTATTCACGCTCTCACATTCGACAGTTCCATTAAGACAATGTGATAATAATCACTTTGTCGCCCCCAGTTTTCCCTCACCCTTTCATTTTTAATTTTACGGACTCGTTATGAACTTTAAAGGGTGTTTTTTATATCTCGAGTTGCTGCTTCATTTCTGACCTTTCTGAAGACTACGATCTCGATTCTTCAAAGCGGAATCTAAAAAGAGAAAGTAGTGATTCTGTTCGGAGACGTGACTGTATATAGAGATGCTGCAGGAGATAACACATCCCCATCCCTGACTGTGTACCCTCCACACACCTCCATACTACTCTGTTTACTATTTTTATCATTTTAAAGAAAGTGGGGCGTATGAGATCATATCTCGCTCTGATTTCCCTGCAGAGGAAAATATTAATAAAACCGAACATCGCTCGTCTGATCATGAACAATATTTCCTGTTTGTCCAGGTCTCCAATCCGGACCCCGTGCCCGTGTCCCTGCCTGTGGGAGCCCCCGCCAGCAGTGTGGTTGTAGAAAGTGGACCGGTCATGTATGATGAGGTGGCGGCAGAGGAGGAAGACGATGAGGAGGATGAGACTTGTGTCAGTGCCATGGACCTGATGGGCGCCAACGGTCAGTGAAAATACTTTAAAGTTGAACCTGCTGATAATTTGGCTGTTTGGATCATCCGATTTCTATCTGTCACTTTTAATCACACATTAGCTTCTTATACTTGGCAGTAATTTTTGGGAGTGAGTGTTACGGTGGTGTGTTGCATTCACCCAAAAATGAAAAAAAAAAGTTTTTTCAGATTTTTTTTTCTGTTTTTCTGAATATTTTCCCCCTTTTTTTCAGATTCATTTTTCCGTTTTTCAGACTATTTTTTTGTTTTGTTTTGTTTTTCAGACAAATTGTTTTTCTTATTCTCTGGGATCATGATCATTTAAAAACAGACGCTTTCATCCCCCTCTGCTCGATTTATTTGAAGCAAACACGGTCCACTTGTTTCAGTCAGATAGATGAAATCTTCCTACGTTTTTTCTACTTTGCGCCGGCTCCTCAGGATTTGCATACCTTATGTTTAATAACATACTTTAGTCTCATTGACCCTGTAGTTGAAGTTATGTTGGAGCTGGAGAATCTGCTGATTTGGAGAAGCTGCGGTTGTAAACGTTATTTGATTTTATGAGATTCTCGCAGGATTTTGAAGTTTCTCGCCTAGTCAAGAAAAAAATAAAACGAAAACAGAAAAAAAAATTCTGAAAAACAGAAAGAAAGGAAAAAAAATATTTGTATGAAAAACAAAAGAGAAAAACTAGAAAAATAGCAGCAAAGAAATAAAAAAATATTTTAAAAAACAGTTTCATTTTTTTTGTAAGTGAACGCGATACGCTTCGGTACAGTGTCACTCAAACAGTAAAACCAGTTTATTTGTGTCATTAGCTGAAAATGATCTTTTCACGGAGACTCTTCTCAGTCTCCGCTTCATAATTTGAATTTAGTTGACTCTCGCAGCGTCTCGGTGGCAGAGTTCTTTGTCACTCCTCGGTCGGACTCCGAGTGTCTGGACTGTGAAGTAGTCAGAGTCCTTTTTTTTAATGAATCTGTCACTCCGGGTCACGGCTCTGTTTCAGCTCCGACTCCTGCTCGGTTTTAATGAGCCCCGGCTCAGATTAAATTTCTTCACTTTACGTCTCTGCCTGTTAAACTTTAAGGTCTCTGACTTTGCCGCAGTAAAAAGTCCTGAGCCGCTTAATTGATTCCTGCAGGGGGGCTCTTCGTTTATACCCCTGCCCCCCGCCACGGTGAGGCCAAAGGTCAGGGTCAGCCTCAGAGCAGCGCTTCTGGAGCTGGTGGAGGGTCAAGGACAGTGGAGCAGGACGGACAGAATCAGAGAGTCAGTTGATGGAGCGTCTAAGTGACAGTTTTTATCATACTGGTCTCTGTGGAAACTGAGCATGTGACACTTTGGTTTAAGTCGCAGCAAATCCACTCAGTCACACATAAAACCAAAGTTTCGGCTCTCTTGGTCACTTTTTATAACCCTGAGAGCTTCAAGGAACAAACAGACCGCATCTGAAAGTTTACTTTTGTCGAGCACTTTTAAAAAACAGAGTTAACACTTAGAAGTGTTTGTGATTTGGCTCT